TCTGCACAGGTGAAGGGCCTCTCAACACTACAGACATGCACAGACCCCACGAAAACCACCCTGCTACTTTGACGCACGAAAGGTGCTCATGATGCTGATGCGGTGATTCTACCTACGCTGCATTTTGCATTGTTACCGGCAGCTTCGGGACCCCAGAAGGCATCCGCAAAAGAAGAGCCTCACCGAGAATGCGGCGTGCCCACCTCGATACTTTCCGGTGGCTCCTCGCAGCCAAGGCTCTTGTCCTGTGACCAGCTGATGAAGAAAGAATGTAGGGGGCATGCATGTGATCTGAATCAAGTCCTGCAGAACACTGCCATCTCCGATGTGTTGCTGCTTCACTTGCAAACGGATCTTTTAAACAAGAGTTGCGCCATAATCAACAACCGAAGCCGCTGCCTGGGCTGCATTGTTGCTGCTACTCTCCTTCCTGGCCCGGGCAAAGGTGCAGCACTCGCTTGGCCGGCTCTGCTTGCGTTTAATTAGACTCTTGGGGCCCCCTTCCCTGCCCGCCAATGGAGGAACGGTCGGTCAAAGCATGGCAGGGCTGCAACTTCTGCTTCTTGAGACCTCGCACCGCGCAAGTACGGCAAGCGCGCGCTAGTCATGCGCAAGAACATGCCAGACTCTGTGCCAGACTGCTGGTGCGTGGCAATGCGTGGTACAGATGTTACAAATTTCGACTGTACTTCTCGCGCAGTTCCTACATCAATCTGGGGCTCTGGCGAGCCTCCTCCTCCTCCACCTTGTGCTGCAGCACCTCAGTGCGCGAGCCTGGCATTGCTAAATCACAGGCCGGCTGCAAAGTCCGGGGAGCAGACGGAAAAGGTCTGTTGCAGCGAAGCTTGAACGGCGGCAGCCTCTGGAATGCCGTGGCGACAGCTTGAGGCCCTGGGCCCTTCTGAGGTTCCTGTTTGTTCGTTCATGCGAAAAGCACAGCCGCGTGACCCTTCGAAGTCCCTTTTCACCGAGTCTCCTAAAAACAACCGGATGTGTCAAAGACAAATTGAGTCCAGCCGCTTCTTGCGCTTCTGCTTCTGCACCATAGCCGACACCTTGGTCAGGATATCTCTTCGTTGCAGCTTTGCTTCGATTGCCCCTCCGAAACTTACGGATGCATCAATATTGAATGCATCGTCACGGCACCAGCTGCACACACAAGCAAGTCGGCATGGTCACCTTGCATTGAAGCCTGCACCCTTTACCTTCTAACATGTGCGAGGTTTCCATCAGGCCCTGGCTGCACAGAAACTGCTGTGTCCCATTGCGAAACATGGGTAACTCGTGTCAACTCACAGGCCCAGGCTTCTACCATAAGTGGGCCTGTATAAACCTCAGCAACCGAAAACACCCAAAACCGCCATGAAATGCGAGCAAAGAGCAATCCGACAGCACCGAAGCAGTTGAAATCACAGTATAGTTTTGAAGATCGAGGTGCTAGTGCACTCTGGACCAAGCCCTGCCATCAACAGCTTGAGCTCTTAAATCTCAGAAACACGCTCTTAAACCCCAGTCCATCAGCCCGTTGAGCTGTCTCATGCAGCCACGTGACGTCTGAGTGCCTCGAAGTCCACGGAGAAAGCCGCTGGCGTGTCCTCCTGGCGAATGAGAACAATTTATGAAGTCTGGTGTCAATACAGTGGCAAACACCCCCCCCTTCTGAGGGTTTTTCTTGGTTTAATGTTGCGAGCAATTCTAAGATACACAAAGTCACAAAGCCGAGCTCGGCTTAGAGCGACTTGAGGGTGAAATGCACCCCTATGCGCACGAAGAGCGGGGGTGTCAACCATGGTAACAGGCCTGCATCAGAGGTCAAGAGTAGCAGCAACAGTAAGCAAGATTCTGCAACCAGCAAGCAATAGTGTCCAATGTCATCACTGTAACGACGATGACGACGCCGACGACGACCACGACTAGTCCACGTGCTGCTGCTGCTGCTGCTGCTGCTGCTGCTGCTGCTGCTGCTGCTGCTGCTGCTGCCCTCGCCGCTGCTATTGCTATCACAAATCCAAACAAACAGACAGCATGCATCGAGCAATGGCAGCTCGAGAGTACTACGGGCAACTGCGTACCAAGAGGCCGTGCGTGGTCGCTTCAACTCCGGCTCCGGTACATCCCCGCCTGAGATGAGCATGGTCCCGAACCCGTCGCTCGACTGCAGAGCGGTTTAAACTAGTGTGGCCTTCATCGACTAACCGGCGGCAACAGTTCGTACCATAATACCCCGTGCAGCCTCCTATCCAACAAGCCTGGAGAAATATCGTGCAAGTTGGACTTCCGTGCTATGTTCCGAGTGATGATGCTACTCGACCATGACGTCAAGAATTAGGAGTCTTTTGCTAGCACCGGCGTCTGCTGCACACACTCCGGCTGCACATGGGGCCATAAGTATGATCCTATGATCTTTCAGTACTTTCCCAGACGGACCTGCTGCGCTTTCGCCTGCGCCTGTGTTGTCAACTTTGTCAGCCTCGGTAAAATGGAGGGCTCTGACATGTGCTGAAAAGCTTCATTCATGTGACCTGCTGAATCTGACATTGCTCTGGGCGTCGGTCTTCCTCATCATCATCGGACAGGAGGGCTAAGGGATCCATGACATGCCATGGGGTGTTGCAGTCTGCGCTGCTCTGCTGTAGACTCTAGACTTCATGGCCGGTCTGCTCATTGCTGGACATCGCATGCAAGTAGTTACGAGAACATGCCCTTGAGCAGCGACTCTGAGACTTGTTCTAGATGCTTGCAAGGAGGGTAGTCTGGAATTGGCAGCTTCGTTCATGATGCAGCCTGACAGCATTTCCGTTCGAGTCTGTGGGCTATCTGGGTTTGGGCCGCACTTGTTTGTCGCGAAACTCGACCTATGAATGAGGGTGTCCCTTGCTCTTAGAGCTTCAGATTCGAGAAGCGCAGTGACAACAGCCACAGAGACAAACTTGCGCCACGAGCATGTCCACACAACCGCTGTCTCCGAAAGCGCGATTCACTATAAGCCCCAGGTCTAGTGGAAACATTTGCTAGCTGCCTGCTGTCTAGCACTCTAGCAGCGCCTCAATTCACTCAAATCACAGCCATTTTCCGTCACATTTCGGCTTCGCGCACGCTGTACAGCTTCGTGTGTCCAACGAGTGAACTTGTCGGGGTCAACGTCCTTAACAGCAGAGTGAGGCGGTGAAACAGTTCGCGATGTGCACAAACGAGTTCTTCAAGTCGGCAAACACAAAGCGCGGACGGGTATAGTAATCACTTCCCGCTTTTATTAGACACCCCTAATATTGAAAACACATTGGCGCGAATTCTCCCGAAATCATCCCTGCCCTTTAAAACCTATTCTGAAGTAGGGGAGGGTTTCGAGGCTTAAGAGCAGGAGCAAAAGCAAGAGCAGGAGTTAGAGCAAAAGCAGGAGCAAGAGAAAAAATGGCGGGAGCATCAGCAAGGACAAAGCAAAAGCAAGAGCGGGAGTACTAGCAAGAGCAGGAGCAAAAGGGATAGCAACAGGAAGAGCAAGAGCAGGCACAACTTCTTCATTGCTTCGGAATATGAAAGCCACGCATCGGAAAGCATCATTTCAGCAAAGATGCGAGATGTGTCTGCCTCCAGTAAGCATCTTTCGCAGTGGCTCTGGTTGCTGAGAACTTCTTGCTGTCCTTGGTATACTAAATTGGCACATCTTAGAGGGGCTTGACCTGTCCACGGTGATTTTTCTTTTGCAACATGCACGCAGGACCAGCCCGTCTAAAAGTGGCCGTGAAGATGAGCCGCAGGGACTTGCAGTGGCCCCCCTTCGCTTCGCAGGCATACGTGGTCAACGTCTGCCAGCCTCGATTGCAGTCCACTACACAAGCAGAGGATGTGAGGCTTCGAGTTTCGAGAGGCCGTCTCCAGCCAGGGAACCGGCCCAGGCCCCCGAACATGCCCAGGCTGTCCTCGTTCCAGGCCTCGCTGCACCGGTACCTCAGCTGACAGCCCGGCCGGATAGTTCAGGGACCCCCTTCACGTGACGGTATACTCCCTCTGAAGCTTCAATGAGGACCGGTCTTCAGGCGGAAGGTAAAACGAAGCGAAACATAGGCCAGAGTAACACTGCAACTACGTCGCGCAAAACATGGCAATAAAGACGCGCTCATGGTGTCGCGGGACGGCTCTTAGGTTGCTAAGAAAATGGGAACGCGAACTATGCTGGCAGATGTGGGGTGGAACATTGTAGCGCAACATGCTGGAATCTTTGGCACCACATGAGAAAACCGTGAGCGCCCAGGTGCAGTGATGGCTGCACATTTCTGGGCAACCTCGGACAGCTTCTGGGATGTGCAAACCATGATGTTGTAGAGGACAGGATTCGAGCATCCGGGGCTTCAACAAGCACGGCCAGGCATATTAAATATGAGTTCAGAGTGCTGAAAGATTCGTCCAGAGATGGCTACATTCCTGGGACAAAATAATCAAGGTTGGGGGTCTCCGTGCTTTTGCCACGATAAACGTCAATTCACTGGGGCAGCTCAAGACCTGCATGGGATCGCATGTCCAAGCTCCACATGTGCTTTAGCAAACTGTCAAGGAGCCATTCCAGAACTTGTCCACCGGGTGCCATAAGTAGCATCCTCGGTCATGGTTCGCTGTCGATGGAAGTAGGTCTGCAAGAATGTCGCATGAAGTATCGGCATATCATAACGTTTAGAACTTACTCCCCACAAGTTGGACGTGGTGTGGTGTTGGTTGCTTAGAGGTAGGGCCGAGGCTCATGAAGGAATTTGAGAACTTGGGTCTCCCAATGCGGTCCCTAAAGCTTTGATTGTGCTCTCGCTCCTTTCCCACTGCGTGTGCTATGGTCCAAACCACATGTTGCTGGCGGACGATCCTTTCGGGTGTGAGCGTTCGCATCAGCGGACAGAGCTGCCGCACACGCTGGAGTCCTGACGCAGTCATGCTGTCAGCATGCACGAGTCAGGACTACAGCGTGAGCGGCAGCCCTGCCCTGCACAGCAAGCCGTTCTTGAAGTCATGATCAATGCCGTCTTTGGCAGCACTGCGTCTCAAAGTCTCCGCGAACGACTTCGGACGATTGTACTTCTCGTAGCGTGTGCCTCAGAGCCAGGCCTCTTCGGGTTCTCTGCGTACTGGATGGGTTCGTGGGAAAAAGTATTCTTGCCAAGAAGATCCAGCATCATCCAGTTGCTTCGATGCTCGACCTCCCGGGCTTTCAGAAGGCCGGGAGCTTTGAAGCGCTGGCACCTGATTGTCGCTCTTTTGGCTTCACGTGGATCCTTCGTCTCCCCGACCTCTGCTGTCCTGGTTTTTCTTCGGGCTCAGCATCTAGTGGCGTCGTTCATCATCGGCTGGCACCGCTAGCAGCGTGACTGCCTCACGCCATCCCAGCCGGCTTGGCATCGCCAGCGTGTCGGGCAGTTCAGTCACGGTGAAGAATTCGACCATCCTCTCCTCTTCAAGTCTAAAGCCGAAGAGTCGATGGAAACCTCGTCTCTCCATCGGTAGCTCCGCTTGCGAGGCCATCGTTTGAATCTTCGGCCCTCCTCCAGTAACGAATGAGGCAGACGCTCGCGTTTACAACCGTATTCACTCCTTCTGGCACAACAGATGAACTCACTGGTGTGTCTTTCATGGTTTTCTCCTCGAGCACAAATGTAATGCAGTTCTTCGGGTCACATTATTGCACTGGAAAGGACCGTTGACCTGCAGCTTGGCCTACTTCAGCGCCGACTGCGGAAGATCGTAGCAGTCGTGCGAGTAGTGCGACGAGGCTCAATGGCTGCGCCAGGCACTTGAGCGCAACTGGCAAGGCCCTACACTACACGCGCACACCACGCACATAACAAAAGCGAGTCTCTTAATTAGCACATGCCGCACGGCTGGATGGCTCTCTTCACAAATGCTGAGATCACCGTTGTGACCAATACGGAAGGTCAGATGCTAATAAAAGCAATCACCGGCGATGACTACATCTGCAATTTCGGACACAATCGAGTCCACAACCCGAGAAGCGCAACGACTCACGAGTCACCTTCCTTGCCGCTCTGGCACCAGGCAAGGGCTGCCCCGACTGCGCCGACCACGACGTTGGCACTCCGGAAGAGTGCAGCCTTAATTGCACAGGATTCCAAAGAAAACAGCACCCTTCTCACGGAACCGATTCGCTGAGAATCCTGTCGAGCATTAGAAGTGCGGCCGCAAATCTCTTTGTCTAGGTCTGGGATTGGCATGGACTGGCCTGCTGCAGCAAGGGCCGTTGTTCCAGGTCGTCCAGAACTCTCCATGCCTGTCCAATCAGAGGAAACGCAAAACGTCAGTTCAAAAACTCCCCTCTTCAGTGCTTAAACTGAAAGCCAGGCCGCTATTTCGTCCGAAACCACCAGTGGATCCAAAGCCATTGCGGTGAGCTTCCTGGGTAAGATCAACTGACAGAATCAGGGTTTCGTCTTGTGGACCTTAAACTTGAAATGCCTCAAGACTTAGGAGCAGGACTTCTGGAAGCTGTAGTTTGCAATTAGCCTCAGCTACACGTCAGCACCTGACATGTACATGGCTAAGGTGTACCCTCAATCCGAAATCGGGGCGGGCATCGGTAGATCAAGAAAAGACCGCCCGTGGGCAAAGGCACGCTGGATCACAATGACGGCAACGCGGCCTGCAGAAGTCAGACTCTGCGCATGTCACTCTCCAGTCAGCCCCACGGGCATCTGCATACAGAACATGTGGCAATGTCGACAAATCGCTTAGCACCCCGAGGTAAAGAAAGGAATCCTATAAAGCTCTCGAAGTGCTCCCAAGCTACCGCCGGCTTCGGGTTTCGAGCCCAGGACCAGTGGAAGGAGGGGGCGGCGCCAGAAGGCATGAGCCAATCCATCCTGAGACTGAGGCATTCATGGGATGCAATCTTATCTTAGTCTCTCAAAGCTGTCCAACGGCTGCGAGAAGCCATTTCGAAGCCATGATGGCGGCTCAAGGCCTCCTTGAATGATGTGACCTGCACCAGATGTAGGAAGGCTAGATTGGCCTGGACATGCTCCGGCGCTGAAGATGACCTCCTCGCGACCGACCGCGGTGCTGTGGCGGAGCTCTCGATCGGCCCGCATCTCTGCATGGCCTGAGCTGGGGCCCCGCCCCGTCCGACGGAGACTCGCTTAGAGTCACTTTCAAGCTAATGTCGAAGGCACCTTCAGACATTGCCAGGGTTTCGTGGTCCATGGGAGGCTATGATCTACGCAGTGGACGAATATCCCAGCCAGGATGCTTTAGGGCTTTTGAGTTTTATGTGGGGCTTGTGCGGTTTAGGGTTTGTGGCCTTTGGCCTCAGTTCTTGTAGGGCTTCATGGTTTTACAGCAGTAGTAGGGGTTTTCCGGAGCAGCGGGCTTTAGGGCCTCAGGGATTCTGGGGGTTTTATGATATGTTGGGCTTCGAGGGTTTACGGATTTGGGGCCGCGCAAAGAGGGGGAGAGGGTTTGAGGGGCTTAGATCATCAGTAAGAAGTAGACGAGGGAATCTTCTCGAACAATAAATAGCATCGTTGGGCCCGAATAATTATCCATGATCTACAATGTCTTGCGTGGCATGTTAAGAAAAAGCAGGCTCGGTATGCGTGCGTTGAAGCACGCTCAGTCGACAAGTAGCCCCAAAGCAACCGACCAAAGCAGCGCTGCCGCATGGTGTGAAGCATGACCTGTCAAAAAAGCTCCCAGAATCGGTTTGAATGTAACTAAGTAGCATCCAGCAGCCAATCGACTGTTCAGAGAGTCCACATTGACATGCTGATCACTGAACTTCGGCATGTCTGAGCTGGGTAACCTCCCTTGGTTTGGCCGAGATTCGGGAGGTGCCGTTGTGAGCAGACGCAGGAAGGGCGCATGCCTTCTGTCACAGACGAATCCGAGATTTCGTTCGCAACGCGGCGACGCTCGACGTCAATCTCAACTGTCTGTATAAGGAACACCCAACGACGACGCGCATGAGCTATCCGCAAACTGACTACTCTTGTACACCGCAAGTAGTCCAGTGGATCCATGCTGCAAGCCTGATGACCCAAAGCTCAAACCGTTTCTGCACGTCCTGCTGCTCATCGACCTGTTTGATGCCAGATGCTCTACATGCATTAGCAGTGCTCGAGCACTCTACGACTCTGCGGTCAGTGCTACATATGACCACATGCCGCCACATGCCCAACTTGCAAACGAGCGGACCTGTCAAGTCCCTGACCGGCACTCAAAACACGAACAATTTGCTGCCGTTGTTGGGCCATGTTGGACCCAGATCTTTAGCCTCGTACCTCGTCGGTATCTGCATGCTGCGCAAATTAGTCTGATTGTCGCGTTTAAGCGCAATACAACGATGTACAGCGCTGTCTGCCTCGGGCATCTCAGGAGCGGTCTCGAAGTCCGTGTCTTCGCCTGGGTGCGAATCAATCAGGTCGGATTGCAAGCACAAGATATGCGGTCGATTGTGCTAGTCCTGTGCCGTCGATGGGTCCCACAACACGACACAGCAAGGAACTCCGTTTTGCATGGAGAGAGAGTTACGGCGAAGGCGGCACTTGACAGCTTCTCTTGTTCCAAAGAGGCGGCCTGTCTACGAGATTGCTTGAGGCAATGGGTTAGCTGGGTGCAGCATGCTTGCGGAAGAGGTATGCGTCGAAAAGGAGGATCAGGAGGACGTCCCGCTGAGCCTTTTCACCGAGGCTTTCGTGAGCGCGCGGTCCGTTGAGCCTTGCGGAAAGAGACCGAATAGCCGGGCTGTCTGGTTGACTCGACGAAAGGCCTGGCAGCCGCTGGCACAATCCAGTGGAGGTTGTGCCAAATGTTGTCTCCGTTCTCGGGGAGGTTTAAGACCTCGGAGGCGGAGTGCACGCGGCTGTGTGCCGGGGTCGAGAATTGGATGCTCACGGCAATGACAGGGCTGGATAGGGCTGGAAAGATCGAACTGAACCTCTTGACCAGCAGGTGACGTCAGGTTGTGCGGGCAATGCTCAGCCATAGCTAATTCGTACGTAGCGTGCCTTGCATATCACAGCACCTCATGCTTCGAATCTGCTGAGGCAGCTTACTGCGTAGTGTCTCGGGGAATATGTATTGCCAAGCGTATTTTATCATCACCGCACGACACAACGACATGTTGCTTCGGCCCGGTTCATCCCGGTTCCGGGATCGCCCTCGTCATCCTCCGACAGTCCAACTCACAGGTTAACATCTCAATGTGCAGCTCTGTGGCAAAGCCGATGGTTTGCCTTGCCAGGGCCGCCTCTTCCGCTGCACTTGGCCAAAGGTCGCCTGAACTTCCGAGGCAGATGAACTGAGACGGCGAGGCGTTCGTAGTTGCAGGGAGGATCCGCACAGCCGAAGTAGACTGAAGGTTTGCCCATGCTATCCAATCTCAGCTCTTAGTCTGAAGGTAAGGCCCTGCGTGTCCTGCAGTCAAGTCACTGAGATCCTCACTCACAGCAAGATGAAACCTGGAAATCTCGTGCAGGCGACTGCGATTATCAGCTCTCTCTCACCTGATCCTTTGCAACGCGCTGCCAGTTTGTTGCTATGCCCTGTTTCCATGCTTCCCACCTGTTGCGCCCCGTCTCTGAACATGTCTGCAGCTGCTCGGGGAGAGGAATCTCGCCATTGGAAGGCTTACCTTACGCAACGACTTGACAAGCCGACTTGGGTTTCGCAACCTGCAGGCTTGGTGTAAAGCCGTATAGATAGACCTGAACCAGAGCAAGGCACGGACAGTGACGACGCCCTTCACGATGCAGGCGTCATGGAACTGCGCTGTGCACTGCACCTGCGGGGCTAGGCAACTCCGCCATCGGACAAACGTTTTGTAGCGAAAGTTGGGCAGCCGCAGCAGGATTTGCCTGCCGTGGCTGCCTTTGCTGCTGCAAAGGTGAGGGAGACCACCTCGGCAAAGGAAGGTCGCAGGGCTCTTTTTTGGCTCTTCCTACAGAAGCCCATGGCCCCAAGCTCGAGATATGAGCACTGGTATTCGAGAGAGCTGAATATCAACCACTCGACAAGTAACTCTGAGCCAGGCAACAGCAGCGACCGCAGTGCTGTGGCGTCGAGCACGTCGGGGCAGCCTTCAGTCTGGAGCCGTTGGCCAAAGCCTTAGGACTGGCACACCATAAACTTTCTGATATATCGAGACGTACAAGTCAGGCAAGACTGCACAGGAAATGGTTCAGACCAGCCTAGGTAAAGGCAGAGGCTGGACTGATGCCCCCTGCACTGTTGCCGCTGAGGCCATCGGCTTGTGTATGACTAACTGCAATGCTGACTTCATCACCATTGCTTCCAAATAAGGGGCCGGCTAACGACATGCGACTATAATGCTCGTGGTACAATACGTTGTAGTCTGTTGCTGCTGATGGCGTTTTCCAACGAAAAGGTACACGCCATATCTTGGTGTTAACTGTAGCCAAAGTCATCAGATTTGTTCAGCCTCGCTGCGGTCCATTGCCTGGCAATTGACGTTCCCAGTGCGCCAATGGACTGCCAGACGCACGAAGTTGTACTCAATGTCTGCCTCAGGAGAGGACAAAGCATACTGTCTGTATTGTAACTGCATGTATGTCAAAACTTGTCTCACTGCATGGTGGATGGCTTGTTCAGTTGCCTTTTATTGGTGATTGCGTAGAAGGGTTCGCTCCTCGCAACTGCCGTCGTTTCGCACATTTGTAGTCTTGATACTTTCACTGCTTGTATTCAGTTGGATATCGCGATTCCTCTATCACTCACACCCACGGGAGGAGGGAGAACTGAACAAACCCAAAACGACCCACAAAGAAGGGAGGATTGTACCCAGAATCCTTTGGCTGGTGCTCCGATCCGTGGTGATTATTAAAGGTATACGCCTGGCCCCATCTTGGCAGCGACACTTAACTCTAGAAACACAAAAGGCTTTCTGGCAGGCCTTACTGAACGGCCACTGCGTGTCTTCCAGGCAGGTGTCGCTCAAGGTCAGAAGCTTCACCTGATAAATTAAGGACACACCTCAACCATGAGTGGAAACTTCACAAGACGCGAGGAAAGTTTAATCCCCCACCACATCGTGGAGGTGGCAAAGGGCCTCTAGACTACTGGCCGTATTGAGGCTGCAGAACGGTATACAGACTTGGCAACCTTTGATTCCGAATGTTTGGGACATATGGTGTGTATATTGACCTCCGACGGACCAACCGAGCTACACGTAAGAAGTGTTTCGAGGAATTGTTTCGTGCAGTCAAGACCGATATGGGCTCTCAATGACTCGGCTCTGACTCTATGCCAGTCATGAACTGCGGTCCTCAACACTCCCCAAACTGCAGTGGAAATGGCCATCATCTCAGCGGTGTTGAGGCTGCCGACCACCTCTCGCAATTCACAGGGCTGGCTTCAGAGCGACATAGCACAACAGAGTTCGACGCATGTGGGCTACTTTGCTCGGCTTTCCCATTCTTAACCCGGGCCACGCAGCTAGCATAATTCTGTGAAGGGCCTAAGTAATTGCCATAGGATGCCTGAAATCGCGTCCTAGATCAGGCTAAAGTCAAGAAGTCTGCAGTTTGGCCTTGCCAGCCAACAGCCATCTTTGAAGGCAAATGATGTTTTCCATCAGCGCACCTTCACACAGATTGCACAGGAATGGCAGCTGCATCTTCCGTGGGGTGGGACGCAGGAGTTGCAAATTTGCCAGATCCGTCCCTATTCAGGTCTGTTTGACCAGTCGGCAGCGTGCCTGGCAAGCAAGCCGAGAATTTGGCGTAGCTAGAGAAGATCCGCTGGAAGTCCTTTTCCATCCACTCCTCGCAGTATGAAGCGGCCTCGCAAGGGCAGTGGCAACTCAGATCGACGCCAGAAGCTGGCCATCTCTTCAGCAAAGGCACCGCAACACACAGAAGAAGGCCTCATCTGAAAGCCCCGAACCCCGACAGTGCCTCGATGATCCGCCGTGCCTCACTGGAGGGCCGCAACATCCGCTCATGAAGATCCCCACGGCCTGGGAAAACGGCAGATAGCTGAGGTAGTGCCCTGCCCGTGCAGAGTGTGCCGTCGACCCTGCCTATGTGCAAGGAGCCGTCGAAAAGGGCGTGTAACGTTGTGTAGTAGTCATAAGCTTCTACACAAGCACCTTGGTTCAACATGAACTTTAGTGTGCTGCCTTGACAGACTGTCTACTTCAGTTTTGGCACAATAATCCCTGGTTGGCCAAATCACCTTGGTGCATGTCTGGGTGCACCTACAGAAGGCAGATGCAGGGCCAAATCCCAAGCTACCCTGACATACAGTCATTAATACAGAGCAGTGGATTCCTAACCTCCGACGGCTGATGAAGCGCGGCCGAGATGAAGGACACGCAGCCGAATAAATCCGACAAGTTCAAGCCCGACTCGCAACAGCTCCGATCGGGATTCGGGGACGTAGAGACATAAAGCTCAGTGGCTAAGTGGCTCTCCAAAGGGCCCCGAAGAGAAACCACACTCGCTGCTCCTGCTCCTGTTGCAGCGATGAGTGTGTCTTCATTTTTGAAACACGGTGTCGGGCCATCGGCGTGTTGCAGCTCGACACCATCGCTGCACAGGCAGGCTTTGTCAGATTTAAGGCTTACCGGTTGCAGAGCAGCCAATAACACAACACTTTCATCCAAGTTTGGTGAGTCAATCGACAGCCGATCAATCCCTGCGGGCGGCCACATTGACATACATGACAGTTGCATTGATCTGTCACAGGAAAGCCTACGTCTACAGATTCCAGAGCCAGCAAAAGCCTTGTGAAGTGCACCCGAAGCCCCTCCTCGATCGGCCATCCGCGGAAGACCTCCTGGCTGGTGACATTTCCCAGGTTGTAGGCATCAACAAGTCCATACCTCAGATTTTCCAACTTGCCGATTTGGGTGCGCAGCAGTTGTCAGCTCGATAAACTTCAACCCAACTGGTACAGTAGAAGGTACAGCAGGAGAGATGGCTGCAACCTGATCTTGCCACAGTTTTGCCAAGCTGCTTCAGTAGCAAGTAGTAAATAAACACGTCAAACCTGGGCTGTCTGGTGATCTGCTAGCGATCCTACTACATCTTTGGAGCATTGTGGGGGACATACAAACGTCAATGTCAGCGTCTTCAGCTTTCAAGCACGTCACTTGCCTTCGCACTTACCAGTGGCTCAAGCTCATGACCCAAGGGGCATGAAGGGCGTGTTCAGCTGGCAGTGCCGGACCAGCTCCGTGGTGTTGCAAATCTGTCGGAGATGCTGAAGCAGACCTCCAGTCTCTCAAAGGGCAAGTGCTGAAACGATGGCGGGTCAAGCAGGTCAAGCAGGGCATCAGCCCCTGATTTGTCTCCAGAAGCACCCCTGACAGGCTTCCGATCGGTGGCACGCTCGAAGGTTTTTTTGCGCTTCCCGCAGCTGGAGGCAGCAGCGCTTTTTGGGGGGCAGTTTTTGGGGGCTGGAGCCAAGACCACTCTCCGGCAGAGCTGCCCTTTTCTTCGATACAGTACAGCCTGGAAAAACAGACCACGAGAATTCAAAACGCAGCAGACGAGTACCGGCAGAGCTGAACTTGTCAGAGGATGACGGAGGATTCCGGCCGGCCTTCGAGCTTTGCGAGGGTCGCTTGCAGCACCGCTTGGGGGCAAGACACCACGTGGAGCGCGTAGTTCTGATAGATCTCCCGCAGCCTTGGGACCTGGCCGAGCTCGTGGAGCGAGGCTGCGAAAAAAAACTTCAAGCAGCCTCCAGCACTCGCTGTGCTTCGATGTCCCACCTGCGCACGTGAAGCAAGATTCGGAGAGTGGATTTGTGTGGTTAGGTCTTTGGGGTGGTGTGGCCTGGTAGGCGTAAGTCTTGCTTTGCTTCCGTCTCGGTGCTGATATATCTAACGGTACAGAAGCGGCTGTGCCCTAGGAAGGTAACAGCGACGTCTCGGCAGCACAAACAAAGTCACTCAATTGCCAGAATTGTAAAGTCGAACCTGGCTTCTTCCAGCGCTGCGGTCACCTCTGCGTGCGCAGCACGCAGCTCATCCTTGTGCTGGGTTCAAGTTTTCTGATGACCCACTGATGACGGGCAACTTCGCCAAAACCTACGCCGC